ACACACCCGGCCTCGCTTCTCACTACATGATACATACACACACGCAGTGATCCGTTCCACGTATTCACCTTTGATACACATTACATGACCACAGTTGGGGCGGGAGGGGGTGTCTGTACTCACATTTAGAAGTTGATATTCAGGTAGTATATCGGGGATGGTTGATGAGAGAGGATGGTTTTTAATCTCCTTTTTTGCCTTTGCACTGTAACGTTTACTAAAATGTATCCACGACCCGATTATGTTCTAAGTATTCGAAAAAACTCACTAAATATTCTATGCATAAAACTTTAACCGTAAACGACATATCTAAAATAATATATTTATAAACACATTCACATCTGATTTCAAACATCATTCACAAACTGCGCCATGCCTTTCAGCTACTTCACCAATAACCACAACCCGATCAACAGCCCACAATCAAACAACACCAGACTGAACACCGTGCTTTACAACTCAAACATTACTGACGTATGTTGACAGCTACGATAACTAAACTATACATATTTTTACACGCTTGAATTAGGCCTATATAGATAACGTGCAGATATAATAACAATATGTTAAAAAATGGAATGACAATGGTTTGCCTGACTGTTCTGTTTTATTTATTAAAGGTAAGTAATTGGTTGTTGTTGTTTTTTTTAATTCTAAATCTCACTGCTCTCCCTCTACACACAAAAATAATTCCCAATAAATCATGTAGATAAATTACCAATTCGTTTATATTTTAAAATTTGTGATTTTCAAAAGGTTGTGAAAATTAATATATAATTTCTAATAATTAGTAATAGCTTTATTGCCATTTGTAAAGCACACAAACATTACTACTGAATGCAGCGTCCATTGGTGCATCCTTTATTGCCTTTAAACTAAGCTTAACCCTAACCACAGACATTGTATTACCCCAAGAATTAACATTAAAATTATTTGAGGTTAGGGTTAGATTTAATGTTGATATCAGGTCAATCTTTACTATGCTACTATAATTTTCAGGTTCGATATTCGAGTAATTACTGTAGATCAAACGATGCAAAAGAAAATGACCATGGGTGATATAGGGTGTAGTGACGTACTTACTATAATTTAAAAGTGGGATTTTTTTGCGCTAATCTGTGTAGCTTGAAAATTATTATAGATATGTTGACCTTAATTTCAATATCGGACTTAAGACATTTGTAAAACCAATAAACCATGTGCTGGGATGTTATACTTTGATGTTCTCATTTTATATACGGTACTGGCTTTGTTTAAAATCCGCTCTAACAACTTTGTCAAAGATGAAAGGGAGGGGGGGGGGGGCGCTTTTTCAACAAAAAACCTGCAGGATTCGAACTGTATCGGTGAGAAGATAATTCTCCTATCACTTAGAAAAGAAACCAATTGTATAAACGCTTAATGTACGATTTCAATACCCATTTTGGTTGCGAAATTACGCAACTAGTTCTTTGTACGATTCTTATGATTTTCTCAACTTTAACGTGAGATATCAGATACTTTTAATTGATTACATTACATCTGGATCACTGCATTAAAGAGAAATAAATATCACGGGTTCTTGTGTCGCTATCCGATCAGTAAAATAGCAGACTGTCAGAGCGGGTGGATGGAAAGCGACTATCTGCCAAAATTTTAAGAGAGAAACAAATTAGTATATTTTTGCAAATCTCGACGCTTTACACCTCCCTGAGTCGGAAAAACATAGCTTTATAATTTTGTCCGTATGTCTGTGTGTGTGTATGTGTGTGTATGTATGTGTGTGTAAGTATGTGTGTCTGTGAACAGGATAACTTGAGTTGCCATCCCCTGTAGTGTTATATACGAATATTCGAGAAAGTTTAGGGGAGATCAGTACCGGTCTATTAAAAAGTGTATTGAAGGAGAAATATACGGGGTGATTACTTTTCTCTTTTTAATGGTTCACTTTTTGTGGTTTTGTTGGCTTTACGTTATTTTGGTTTTATTTCTTCCGCCTAAATTTAAAGTTCATTAATTTTTATTTATTTTTTAAAAATATTTTTAACTTGATGCAAATGTTAATGTGTGTTTCGTATAATACTTTTTTCTCTTCCGATAATAATGCGGCAAACCAAAAGAAAAAAATTAACATGTATTGATTTTTAAAATGTAATACATTGATAATTCATATATTTTTCTCTTTATAAGTGTGTACATTTTTTAATTAAAAAAAATAAAACAACGAATTTTACATGCATCTACAAGTAGTTTATTTTTAGAATTGCTACAAACGTATAATTGGTACTTTTTTGCATGGTATTGGTAACCAATCGCATGTATCCCGCTTCACTATGTTTGATAATGGGACTTGTCCTGAGGTTTGAGTGACGTCTCTCACGTTTTCCAAATCAGAGTTGTCGTCAGTCGAGATAAGCGGTCCATGGTCATTAACACTTGGCGCATCAGAACCAATACCCTATAGTAATTTTAACAATAAAAACAATTAAAATCAATCTTTGAAACAATAGGGGATGGAGTGGTCTAGCGGTAGAGAGCTGGTCTGTTCGAATCCGGGGTTCAAGTCGGGAAAGTAAAAGCGGCTGGGCATAGTGCTGATCACACTATCTCTTAATATGCCGAGGTCACAGAAACAAGTGAACTCTACTTTACTTGCCCATAGACCGTCAGGTTTGAAAGGGAAACTTTACTTTTAATTATTCTAAAAAATAATCAACACAAATTGTCTTTTGATAGAAAATGAAAATAGCATTGTTAACATGAATTGTAACTAATACAGAAGAAAAACTTCTTTTTTTACATTTTATTCTAAAGACAAAATTTTTTTTCACGATTTTGTAGTTTTAGATACAGGCTATAAGTTAATTTGATTAAAGTTGTGACAGGCTTTTCTCCTACCTTTCTATAACACACACACAAAACCAAAAATCAAGCCTTGTTCCTGCAATTTTCATATTTTATTGGTTCATACAAGCATCGTGTTCACCTCCAGACTTCGCCATGTTTTTCCGCGCCTATATCTCTCTTCCCTTCCTCACGCGCATGCGTACACCCACACTATCTTTTAAATTTATCTCGCCTTTTTCTGACACATACTCGCAACATACATTCATATACATTTAACTGTTTTACGCCCTTTCTCCCGTTTAAAAGAAATTATTTATTAATTTTTTTTGTTATATAAATCACATTCACTATAAAATCATTATACATGTAACAGTTAAATGAAAATCATGTTGAAAAAGAAACTTGCTAATGAACATCCTAAATTATTTTATATGTATACTTACCAAATTAAAACAATGATATTTATAAAATACATGACAAAGTGTAAAGCGTCACTTACCTTATAAGTATCGCCATTAAGAAAAATTGTAACTAAGGTAAACCTTCTTAGTTTAATAAGAACAAATGACTCTAACTAAGGAACATCTCTTCTTAGTGTAACAAAAAAAAATCGTTAAACCTCACTAAGGAATATTGCCTCTTAGTGTATCTCAAAATAATTCTAACTGAGGAAAACTCTCTTTTAGTAGAACAAAATTATAGCTATGCAATAGCTCCCATGGGCAAATCAAATCCTTGATTTCCCTACTTCAATGGCTGAGGTCAACTCCTCAACATAACATATGTAACTTACCACATCTGTCAACTCATACTTCCATAATCATGTTTATTACTTAACAAGATATACAGTATACATACAAATCACAGAAATACAACAAAATGTATGTTCATTTTCATTACTAAATTAAAATAGTGATAAAACATATTTATACAAGTCATGTTATGACTTTTTCCTATCTTGCTCACATTTTTAAAATTTTAATGTTCTCTGGAAGTACACATCACATACTACATTATTCAAAATTTCCTTATAAGGATTGACTGATATGTCTCAGGTCATTATTTTCTTTAGTCAGTTCCATGTTTGTTTTTTCATCTTCAATCTGTCTTGATAAAAAATCAGCTAGTGTATTGTGCTGTCCCTTTACTGTTTTTATCTCAAACTTGAAATCTAATAAAATCAGTGCCCATCTATTTATTTTGCTATTCATTATCATTTTCTTATTGATTGTGATCAATGGCTTGTGATCTATTCTGAGAGTAAAGTGTCTTCCCAATAAATACTTATGTAATTTACTCAATGCCCATACAATTGCTAGGCACTCTCTCTCAATCACTGCATATCTTTGTTCTGTTGGTGATAATGCCCTGCTGAGGTATTGTACTGGGTATAGTTTATTGCCCTTTTCTTGCATTAAGCAGGCTTCTAACGCTACATTTGATGCATCAGTAAAAAGAGTGAAATGCTTACTAAAATCTGGTGACATTAGTACCTTGTCACACATAAATTCAGCCTTTATTTTATTTAAGGCACTTTCACATTCCTGTGTCCATACTAGTTTAACTTTGTCTTTGGATAGCAATTCTCTTAAAGGAGTAGTAAGTTCAGCATATTTATCCACAAAAATATTATAAAAATTGCATAGTCCCAACAATGATTTCACTTCTTTCTTTGTAGTAGGAGTTTTGATATTTAATATTTTGTCCCTATTTACTTCAGTAGGTCTAATTTCTTTGTTTCCAACCTTAAATCCTAGGAATTCTACTGTATCTACTCCCACATGCAGTTTCTCTGGTGCTATGGTAACCCCATGTTTTCTAAGTCTTTCTAGTATTTCTTTTAGTGTTTCTATGTGTTCTGCCCATGTGTTATTATGTATGCATATATCATCAACAAAGAAGACCAGGTTTTTCATTCCCTCTGTCATTTTATTCATGAATTTTTGGAACGTGGCGGTTCTGTTCACAAGTCCGAACGGCATCACCTTCCATTGACATAGACCTTTGCTTGATGTAAAGGCGGTGTATTGTCTTGACTCCTTTTCCAGTCCTATTTGCCAGAAGCCTCTGTTCAAATCACAAGTGGTGAAAATTGAGGATTTACTGATAGTTTCCAAAATGTCTTTAGGATCATTCATGGGTTCAGCATCTATCTTAGTCCTTTTATTCAACTCTCAATAGTCACAACATATCCTTACTTTGTTGTTCTTTTTTCTTACTATCACCATGGGTGATGAGTATGCTGATTCTGTTCTTTCTATTTGCCCAGACTCAAGTAGAATATCTAGTTCTGCTTCAACAGCTTCTCTATAAGCAACTGGTACTTGGTAATGCTTCCCTTTCATAGCACTATAATAAGTCAATTCTATTTTGTGTTGAATTGTTTCAGTAAAACCCATTTCTGTTGTAATCACATCCTTGTACTCATTTACTATTTTGTCTATTATGTTTTTCTCATTCACTGGGATATGATTAGTCTTAATTTCATGTGTATTACAGCTTTCACTTATTATAGTACAGGCCATATGTTCCTTTTCTATCAGTTTCTCTGGCTCTACATATAATTTCTTTATTCTGTCTATGTGTATAGGAGTGTTATTTCCCTTTATGTTTATTTCATAATTTACATCAGATAGTTTCTTGATTACTTCAAAAGGTCCTTGAAATGCTTCTGTGTTTTTTCTGTCTGGCAGTTTGACAAAAACTAAATCTCCTCTTTCAAAAGTTCTTAAATATCTATGTTTGTTTTTTATATTTCTGTGCCTTTCACTGGCTAACTGTGCATTCTCTTGGGCTGTCTGGACACCATAAACTATTCTCTCTCTAGTCTGGTTTACTAGTTCATGAGGATCAAATTCCTCTTCATGTTTATTTAATAATTTGTGTTTCAATAAAGTTAATGGGCCTTTTGGCTTTACCCCGTATATCAGTTCAAAAGGAGAAAAACCTGTTGACTCATGTTTAGTCCCTCTGTATGCGAATAGTACTTGAGGGAAATACTTGTGCCATTCACCTGGGTGATCCTCTGTTACCTTTTTTAACATAGTCTTCAGTGTTTTATTCCATCTCTCATTAATCCCATTTGCTTGTGGATGGTATATGGTACTATGTACTTGTGCAATGTTCAAGAAGCTTGTGAATGCCTTTGTCAATTTGCCTTTAAACTGTGTTCCATTGTCTGATAAAATCGTATCAGGAAAATCGGATCTTGTACATACACTCATCACAGCATCACAGATAGCTACAGCTGTAATCTCTCTAAGTGGTATTGCCTCTGGCCATCTGGTTGCCCAATCCACTATAGTTAATATGAACTTGTGGCCCTGGGAAGTAGGGTGTTCCATGGTCCAACTATGTCCACTGCTAACTCTTGTAACTCTATCTGTCTGTTGTAGAGGTGCATTATGTTTCCCATCAACAGGATTGAGTCTTATGCATTTGGTGCATTTTTGTATGTATTTCTTTATGTCTTCCTCCATTAAAGGCCAGTAGTAATCTTCAGCTATTCTCTCAAATGTATTTTTTTCTGCCATGTGTGCCCCCAACGGACTGTCATGTGCTTGTTGTAATATCTTTGTTCCCATAGTTTGTGGCACCACTATCTGAGTCTTTTCATTATTCTTGTTGTCAATATATTTCCTGACTAAAACATTATTTTCTTTAGTGTACTTAGATCCCCTGACATTCATGTTACTTGTATTGATGTTTTTCAGTATATTTTTGAAAGTATTGTCTTCTTCCTGAAGTTTTATCCATTCATTTATATCTTCTATTAATTCTGTTTTGCTTTCCTCATTGTCCCCACTTCCCTGATTTGCTTGTTTCTGTGCTCTTGTCTCAACCGCTGCCCCAATTTGACTTTCCCATCTATCTATATCTTCCTCATTACTTTCTTTCACCTCCTTTGCATTCCCAATAATCATATCTGCTATTGGTTCTTCCATGACCGCCACTTTATATTTACCTTTCAGCCAAGCAGAATCTATATCAACTACTGCTATCTCACACTCATCCTTAAATTTCTTGTTGGCATATGTCATCTTCATTATGCCAGGAATGTACTGTTCTGGTCTTACAAGACTTTTCTTAACAATAATGCATGTGCAACCTGAATCTCTCAGGCACATTACTCTGACAATGTTTACTATAGCTGGGAACATCTTCAGTGTTAAATTGCTTTGTCTAACAGATGCCACCGTCTCTGACCCTTCTACCCCTGCTGATGTCACTTGATTGTTATTTCTACTATTTCTGTTTTCTCCCCTGTTGTCTGGTCCCATTCTTGGCCGTCTACTTTGATTGTGGAATTCATTTCTACTTTGTCCACTATACTGTCTTTGTCTGTAATAATTACGTTGATTTCTGTAATTATTATTAGGTGCATAACCTCCTCTGTCATTATTGCTGAGATATGTATCTCTACTTTTTAAGCTGAAACACTCAGACTTTACATGGCCTGTTTTCCCACAGTGGTAACACTCTATGCTTCTGCTATATGTATAGCTGTCTGGTTTCCATCTGGTAGGTGCACTATTACTTCTATCTCTATTGTTGTTGCCATACCTTCTTTGATCACTGCCAGAGTTTCTACTGTAGACTGCTGCTGAAATCTCTCCCTGCTCTCTTTTGTCTAAAAAAGCCCCTGGATGTGCATCCTTATAAATATTAAATTGCTCTGTTAATTGTTTTTGTGTTCTAATTTTTCTTTCTCTCAAAAAAGTAAATAGACTATCTGTGGCATTATTTAAAACATGATCTATCAGGTTAAGTTCAATAATTGCTTCAGGCTTCTTTAAATCTATTTCTGCCGATTCTAGCCTTTTATTCATGCATTTGCGAATATCAAAAATGATCTGGTTTATGTCACCAGTGTTGTTAATTCTAGCATCTCTTATAGTCTTTCTGTAATAGTCTTCTGTCTTTCCAAAATGTTTCATCAATCTTTCTTTTATTAGGTCATAGTCTTCTTTTTCAGCCTCAGACATACTTGCTATTATGGCAATAGTTTCTCCTGTCAAATTAGTCAATAAAGCCTGTGCCTTCCCAGCAGATGAATAATTAAAACTCTTACATGTTTGTTCAAAGAGTATTAAGTAAGTTTCCACACTTTCTTCCTGGGGTTTAAATGCTCTGAATTTAGGCTTCCAATTGTCCGTTTTGTTAACATTGCTGTCTTGAGATTGGTTACTTTTAATTTTTTCTAATTCTAACTCATGTTGTCTCTGTTTTTCTCTATCTTCTAATTGTCTCTGTTTTTCTCTATCTTCGGCCTCCAGTTTAATCATTTCCTTCTCAGCCTCCATTTTAACTTTTTCCTTCTCAGCCTCTATTTTAGCTAGATCTAGTTCCTTATCAGCCTCTATTTTGGCTTTAGCTAATTACCTCTCTAAAGCTCTGTCTTCCCTTTCAATTGCATCAGCTATCTTCTTTTCAACCCATTTAGCCTTTTCTGCCCCAGTGTATCCTAACGAATCAGCCAACTCAATGTATTTGGCATAGTCCTCCATCGTAATGGTCCAAGAAATTAGAAAAGTTATTCAGTTACAATACTAAATCTAGATTTAATTCTTTCCTTTACGGTGCGGAGCACCGACCACTTCTGACACCAAAATGTCACAGGCTTTTCTCCTACTTTTCTATAACACACACACAAAACCAAAAATCAAGCCTTGTTCCTGCAATTTTCATATTTTATTGGTTCATACAAGCATCGTGTTCACCTCCAGACTTCGCCATGTTTTTCCGCGCCTATATCTCTCTTCCCTTCCTCTCGCGAATGCGTACACCCACACTATCTTTTAAGTTTATCTCGCCTTTTTCTGACACATACTCGCAACATACATTCATATACATTTAACTGTTATAAAAGTGTTTAACAACAATTAGTTGCATAGTTAAATTTTATTTTTAATTCGGGTCATTGTATAAGTCGACTCTCCATTCGTCTAAATTTAAGTGCCTTTGAAAAACGATAGGTATTCAAACTAATTGCAACAATTATCTGATCCTTTCAAGACTGAGTAATCAGCTCTCATCAAGCATAATAATCGTGAATATTCATTTCATGTTATTGTATTTGCAACTGAAGAAACCCGGAACAGAATCGCTGTATACGAATCGGAGTGAAATTGATTTGCTAGATATCTTACAAACAAGTTGTCAGTTAGACATGCATCTACAGACTCGTTACCAGTATGATAACGATGCGATGTCACACTAACTACCACGCTACTGATGCAAATACACGTGTTTCAATTTATTTTTAAAAATGAGTTTACTAAATATTTGTACATAGATTTTGATATTTCATACAGACTTATTCTTTTGTGTAAGTTTTAAAAGCGTTGTGAAATATGTCGGTTGTACGAACTAAATTGTTGTCTTGCCATTGAAATTTGACGTGGGATGTTCTGTAGGATACTAGTTGCAAATTAGACGGAAGTGCTATTTGACATACATGTATGCATATTTTTTCATGTAAGTATGCAAGCATGTATTTACGTCTGCATGCATGTATGTTCGCATGTGTGCATGTTTGCTGAATTTCACGTCGAATGTTTGCAATTTCTTAGATGCGAGTCAAGATGATAAACGCTAAGAGGCAGAGGCGTAGCTAGGGGATGGGAAAAGGGAGGGCGGCCGCTCCGGGCGCCGACCATAGTGGGGAGCTAAAAGAGGTAGAAAAAAAAATGTAAAAGCTCATTTTAAGCTGCAGTGTTGAATTATAAACAGACAAAGTTAAGAAATGTAAAAGCTGAGAGCCTTTGCATACTGAGTTAAACTGTTTTCTACCTTAATTTAATTTTTTAACTGTTAAATGTATACCCTTAAGAAACAGTCACCGGAAAAAACTGATTTCGGTTTACCTAGATGAGGGGAGGGGCGCTTTTTCGAAGAATAAAATCAGAAAATTTTTAAATGGATTAAGCAGTAAATAACTGATATCACTCAGAAAAGAAATCCATTGTACTAAAGCGTATTCTACGATTGTATAACATTAAGAAAAGAGTTAGAGACGTTTAAATCCGCTCTAACAACTTTGTCAAAGATGGTAGGGAAGGTGAGGGCGCTTTTTTACCAACAAAACCTCCAGGATTTGTTACTGAATCGGTGAGTACATAATTCTCCTAACACTTAGAAAAGAAATCAATTGTATTAACGCTTAGTGTACGATTTCACTAGCCAGTTTTGCTGAGAAATGCTGCGACTAGTTCTTTGTACGATTCTTATGATTCTCTCAACTTCAACATGAGAGATCAGATAGTTTTACTTGGTTGCAATACATCTTGCCTGGATCACTGCATTAAAGAGAAATAAATACCACGGATTCTTGTATCGTTATCCGATCAATAAAATAGCAGACTGTCGGAGCGGGTGGTGGAAAGCGACACTATTTGCCAAAATTTTAAGAGAGAAGAAAATTAGTATATTGTACTGAATATTTCATTTTTTATTGATTTTTCATAACACTTTGTCCAACCTAACTGATAATTTAAAATTTTAATTTACTATTATCGAAATTGTTTTAAGGACACGACCAAAAGTAGACCAAATTAGCTTGGACCTTCTACAGACTATACTCTAAAGCAGTGGTGCTTAACTTTTAGGAGGTACCGAATCCAACCAGTTTCATATGCGCATTTGCCGAACTCTCTTTAATAGTTGTATTGTCCGTCCGGAGAGCCTGGTACGTCGGACTCCCAAGTCCTCCACATGATAGCGAGCCAGGAGATCTGTCCGCATTAGACGGGTGAATCTCCGTTGCTTGCTCTAAATGGCGTGGGGGAGGAGAGGTGCAAGACTGCCGGGAACCAAAAGAGGCCTGTCATGACCTCAACCAGATATTTTGACTTTAAGCTGCGGCCTTAACGGGGCTTCGGAATAATGCCACTAGTCCGACCAAACCCATGTCCCCCTAGTAGATGCGGAATGGCTGGTGGCAGATAACAGCAGCTAGAGGGTTTTGATCTGGCGGAATGCCCCCCACGATCAAGCTGGGTACCAGGCGGTAGGACGACGTCCCGCGTCTGGTGGGTGGGGAAGGAAAGCCCGGTGAGAGCCGACGGAAGTAGCGACCGATGTGTGGGAAACTCTTGTGGTCGGGGTTTGCTACACTGAGGCCTGCCTGGCTAATGGAAGTCAACCTTCTGAGCCGGTTTCCGTATAAGGAAGGAAGGAAGTTGTATTGTCCACACGGAACAAATCCGATCGTTAATCCTATGAGTCGGGTGTGTATCTTGACCTCCGCGGAAGCCCTGATTTTTCAAATAAGTTTTATTATTTTCTCCGGACCGTCGCATTCACTTACAGGCACACACACACTCACACACACACACACACACACATATATATATATATATATATATATATATATATATATATATATATATATATATATATATATTGTTATGCCCGTCCTCCGACAGCCGCGGAGGAAGCGGACACCCCAGGTTCGTTTGGTATGGCACCGATAGAAGACGTTGTAACGGAATCTCAACAACTTGCCGTGAGCTCGTTAATGCTGTCTAGGGGTAAAACACGACAAATCGAAGAGACTCACACGACTTAAACTATGAATACCTTTTTAATTTATGTACAAGATAATGACACTAGGTAAGATCAAAATGTACAGATTCTATGAGTACAATAAATAACCTCAAAAACTCCAACTTACAGTTTGAGAAAATCACAATATATCACAGCTGTGGCATAGTATATTATACACCAATAAATCATTACTACACACAACTGAATGGCATCTTAAATACCACAAAAAACCAAGAAGAGACGTATTGCCTCTACAACAATAGAAATCCAAATAAAGGACCAAACTATTACCGAAGTAATCAAAAAGGTGCAATAATACACCAGAACAAAATAGTTGAAATACTACAACTAGCCACACAATACCTTATACAAAGGTGAAACAACATTTCACATAATTACAATACTGCAAAATGGCCTACATAACCAGTGGGGCAACTCTCCTGGTCCAAAGTCAATCTGGCTGCCTTTGAACTTCAAAATCTCGGGATTAAATAGCATTCAATAATAGGGGAAATAACTCAAAAGTCTTACGACTATTGGTTGAGGATCTGTCAAGGATCCACACGGTCGCAAGACCATTGGTTGAGGTTCTGCCAGGGATAAAACATACAATCACATGATGTGAGAGTGTTCAGTTGACCGATTCGTACTAGTGAACTGACAATTCTCCCAAGGTCAAATACATAACTCAGGAGATTAAATATACATAAAGCAAAACGACCTAAGTAGGTCACAATATATTATTTATTTATTTATTTATATGGGGGGAGGCAAACTGAAAATTCGCCCCATGCGCCGGTACTGGTCGCTACGCCTCTGCTATAAGGTGCAGATAATAATGTCTTTAAAAGATAAAAGTACTGACAATTCGTTTAAACTTCAATATACAAGAATTATTTGTCTTTAAACGCTACATTTTAACAGAAGGGAAAATAAACAAACTGAAGCCAGTTAAGTTGAATTTTAATTGTAAGAAATTTGCGAAGGTGTATGAGAACATGGAAGTAATGTGACTTTTTACAAGCTTTTATTTAATTTGCTTTCTCTGTCTTGATCGAAAATGGGAGAGCGAAATTTCGGTCACTTCTTACCGATCAACTTCTCTTAAATTCGACACGTGGGCCAAGACCCAATGACAATGCAATAAGACATTATATACGACTTTATTAGATGACGCATTAATTTTTTATGAATTAATTAAATTTTTCTGAAATTAGTAGGCTATCTTGTCCTTTGAGGAACCTCAACTGTTGAAATTATCGCAATCTTTGTTTTTTTCGCTTGACGCTAGACTTAGACGCTATCTGGTGAGCTTTGATCACGACGAATGTTTACAATCGCCTAGCCGGTCGTATTGGTGAAAACTATTAGGGGCAGATAATAAAGTTTTTAAACGATTTGAAACTTAGGCGAAGTAGATCACGAAATAATTAGATACGGGTATCTGTCTTTTATAGAGAACATTAGGTACCGTTTGGTATCAACTTCATTCTGAACAAATTACCCATATAGTGGGTGGAAAAAAGTACAAACAGATTTATAAAAACAAGCATTTAAAAACACTGAAAATAAACTTGCTTACTTAGATTTCGCTCGCTAAAATCTGTAGATGATCTCAAGAGCGAACTGAGATTTTATTAAAGTAAGCAAGTTTGGTTTTTTTTTTTTTTGGGGGGGGGGGTTCAGTGAACTGAAGGCTTAGAATTATAATGTTTTTACTGTGTTTTATAGATTTATCCGTTCAAGAAGCTTAGGATTAACTTACACATAGTTATGTGCGAACATAAAGTGAAGTTGTTTGTTCATTTTTTTTACATAGTCAGGGTTGTGGGCACATGCCCAACGCGATCTGTTGCTAGCTAGGAGATCAACACATGAGATCGCATCACATCAAGTTTTCTAAGTGCTTAACGCTAGATACAACAAATGGACAAATGGAAATAGTAGGAGTCCAAAGTAT